GGCTGAGCACAATTTATTCAAGTTACTTAAACTGTTCAATTGTTTCCTACATTCATCAGTTCATTTGTCCTAGTTTGAAACCCGATTTATGTGATTTACAATTTTTGTTACACTTTTTTAGTGATTCCCCAAGTTTATTTTTCACTTGGTAAATCCACGTTCACTTTAAAACTTAAATTCATACTCTACTGTTAAACTTACATAGAGAAATCTTGTCAAATGACTTGTGCCATATTTCAATCACTGTCATTTGAATGCACTGTTAATAATTTGAACAAAACTAAGCGTTTGTGCACCGGCCGCAGGATAAGCAAACAAGTTTTTTCTCTGTAAATTCAGGAGAGGAATTTGCCTAGCTGAAAGTATTATCTTAAAAAAGCCGGAGAGAATGACGCTTTTTGCACTGCCGTAACAGCTATTAGCTCAATTGTAGTAAATTTTGTGGTGCCAGGCTACCATTAGAAACGAAAATGCCGTGTTCATATATGCCCATTTGTAAATTCGTCATTGTACAACATAAGAGAGCCTTTGTCTGCTTTTAAACTCTACAATCACAGCAAATGATGGTTTTTTTAAATATTGAACGTGCAACTTATTTTGAACGACAGGTCTATTTCAGTACTAGACCATGAAATAAGGTAAAGGTAATAATTATAACATATCAACATCGACCTTTCTAAAACCCCATAAAGAACAGGTCGATTAATTTGCCATAGCATTAATTTATTATCAGTTACATCAATCTTCAGCAGTCGTCGTCGTTCTTGGGGTACAAAAAATTCGATTTGGCGTTTTACTGTCACAAAATCACTTCGCCACAATTTCATTTATTAAGACTGGACTAAATCACCAGCACTAGACGTCCTTGCCAGACTTAGTATTCTGCACAAATCTCATGGAGAAGGTCTAGTTCCATCCAATTCACTTCGTACGTGAAACGGGCCTAAATTCGCCTTGATGAGCCGAGATACTAATGTAGTGTTGAGAGCCACACTTAGATTGACAACCACTATCACACAGAGTTATAAAAATATTCAGATAAATTTCGCTATCATGCTAACGCTTTACTTGCCAAAAAACGCCTCCAGCACAACCTTGTGTATCTGCGCGCCTAGTAGACAAAGTGCCTTGTGAGCTCATAAAGGGGAGCTACCGTGGCAAGATTGATTGGCAGCAAGATGCAGAATACAGACTTCCAACTGTGGCACGATTAAGCCAAACATTTGCATGAAGTGGTCTTGCCTTAGCTGACAAAAATACAGGTGCTGAGAGGTACATCGTGTTAGTCTGTGGCGTATTGAGGACGTTCAGTTTGACCAAAAACTGTTTTGAAGGTTGAATTCGTATAAGCTGATAAAAGACAATAAAGGCTATCTGAACTGTATCGTAATGCAACAGCGTAATAAGATTTCAAGCTATTTTATCGTCTTGATGAGGCACCACGTGAACAAACAAGATGCTTTCAACTTTTATTATTTTTGGTTGGTCTAACGGCAAACAGGTATCCAGTTTAGTGACAAAAAAACTTAAGGAAATTCGCCTTTAAAAATTGGTTAGCAAGGGATACAATGAAATTGTTTCATTTCTAGAACTCAGTGAGTTCTTACTTTCGTGCCTACGAGTAGAAGGTAACTCAGAAATTTGCCTCAGATCACTAAGTGCGCACACACATTTCTCTTCCTACTCTAGGTGGCGAATCTGGCGAATGGCCTAAAGTGTGAGTTTGTGTATTTCATCAAACTAATAAAGGAAGTATAAATAGGCAACTAATAAAGGCGGAACAATAAATTGGTATTTCAAGGAAGCATTGATTGTCGACAACACAGCTGCTTCAGAGGGGAGGGAATACGCAAAATATAGCCATAACTCTAACAACCCACGGACATAAGAGGTGAAGAACAATGAAGGGAATTCATCAAGCCCTTCATCCTGATTTTATTTGCTTCCGACATCGAACTTCATATAATTTCTCACGGTTACTGTGCTGTTTTATTGTAGTGTGCAATACACGAGTCGTAGTGTGAAGAAAACTGGAACAACAGAACAGGGTTTATTGACCAATCACAAGCCAGAACCTTACGTAAGGCGCCGTCCATTCAGGTCCACCACGCTGGCTGTGCCGTTAACTATATGCTGCTGCTTAGAAGTGTCTGTCTCATGTTACCTGCAGATCTCCTTCACAGGCCATTCAAATGCAGAGAGACAGTGAATTGGCTGAGGCCGGCGTGGTCCAATATGTCTGCGCCCTGATCCGTCGCCACTCTTCTTCTTGTTAGGGCTCGGGTGTTCTAGAGCGTTGTGGCGACGGATCAGGGCGCAGACATATTGGACCACCTGGCCTCAGCCAATCCTGTGTCTCTCTGCGTTCCAATGGCATGCGAGGAAGATAAGCAGCCAACCAGAGAAGGACACGAATGAGGAGCAGTATATAATGGGCTGCGTGGCCAGCGTGAAGGACTCGGATGGACGGAGCCTGACGTGTGGTTCTGGCTTGTGGGTGGTCAGTAAAGCCTGTTCTGTTGTACCAGTCTTTTTCCTATTAGGGCTCGGGTATTCTACACCACACCACACTACAAGCTCGTTCTTGTCACGGTCAGATTCCTGTCTCGGGTAGATATGTACATGACTACAGAATGGCAGAAATGGATACTGAATGGATGCTTAGACATTCAATGTGGGTTGAATAACTAGTTGTGACTGACTTATTGAATTTAAGTCATAAAACATACGTTATGTTAGTCTAAACGAACTTTATCTCAAGATTCGAAAGTTAGAGTAGTTAAATTTCTGTCAAACTAGATGTGGATTTCAAAATACTTGGATCAAAGGGATACTGAATAGCGTATTTGGTTGCTGACCAATGCAGCAATAATGCAATGCTAGTAGAAATAATTTGAAATTCATTTCAGTAAAAAAGTTGTCATAATCTTTTGAAAATCGAATAATTCAGTTCGTCTTGAATAATGAGAGACGACTTTAGAAAATATTACTGGTCATATTTGCATTCTCTTAAGATTTTTCAGAATATTTCATGAACATTCTTTACCAAGTCTTGTGAACAGCTCTTATTTGCGCACAGTAGACTTTGGCACGGTCCACACAATGACGCATCACCATTGTCTAGTAATTGTACACATAACTAAATTCCACATCTGCCTCAACAGTCGTAAGTGATTATTTAAAGTATAGAATGCTACATTTACAAGCTCCCTATTTACAACATTTTGGAATGCTAACATGTCTTTTCTCGGTTCTATTGATGCATGAATTCATTTAAGAAAAAAACTTTAAAGCCAGTTTCTCCAAGCGTCCTCTGGTTAGCGCTTTGGACATTGCAACGAGTCCCATTTTTTGAGCAAACCTAAAAGGACTGTGGTCGCATTTTCCCAACTAGAAATTTTTATTGACATGAAAAACTATTGTCGATTTACATCGCCAGCACTCCTATTGTGTTTTTATACAATACCTCAAAAATCCTAAATCAACGGCCAAGGAAATGGCAGAAGACTTGGCCATGTCCTTCTTTTTACGGTCTAAGCATATAGATGTGACAAGCCGAAATTGGATGCTTCGTTTAAAATGCGCGATTCTCCTTTCAATTGAACTATCAAAGTTTCAGCTAAAACCACATACTCAGTGGCGCATTGTCATTAACAAAAACATTTTCCCAACACGCAAATGTTATAGTTCAAGTGTAGGGGACCGACGGCGATCACGCATGAGTGAAGCCTGTTTGCCGGCCTGACGGTTCCAATGACTTATCCTTACTGCAATGGTTACTTTCATCAGACGCCTATCATCCGCATTCAACACAATGGGGTGGCTTAATGCCACTAAACGCCCACTCATTGTCTTGCCTCTCTTCTTAGGCTCTTAAGGACAGTCAACCAGGCGGTTGTAAGGTGGTGCTAGATAAGCCACTACACAAGCACTTTGGAAAAAGCTTTGTTTGAGTAAACTAAAGAGGCATTTGGTCACTTAAAATGTCTAAATCAAATCCGTACTCAAAATGCTTAGGGAGATTGACATAAGCACGCTTTCTAGATGGTTTGGCTGTATAAGTTGTTGCTCACTGTCATGCCTTCTTTGTGGTCGGATGACTGGAAGAGAGTGGTGGCTACGACAAGTAAAAATTCATTCAGATTTATGCAATCGTGGCCACCTATTTTACTGAATCGACTACTTGCCCTAGTAGAAATGTGCATACTTGTCGAATTTTTTATCCTTCCTATATTTAAAGTCAATGTGACGTTCGCTTCATGACACATCGATCAACGTTCGGAAGCCAAGTTGAATGAAATAACCGGTGCAAGGGCCCAATAAAAGTTAACTTCCATGAGGTTAGTAAATGCGCGAAATCCAAATGACAGAAGACGTGAACCAGCCATTTTGTTCCACAGGACCGGTTCAACCTATCTCTGGTTGAATCGACCTTGATCCGATACAGGACGCATTTTGGCCAGCTGCCACCCCAAATAAGGTGATGCTTTACCAAAATGTATTCATCACCAATAGGCGACGGTCAATGGCTGAGGCAGTTTCACAAAAAAGGAAGTTTAGTGCTGGCCTATACATTTTTTCTAGTTTCTAGTTGTCATTAAGCCGACACGTAGCTACTGCGTAGGTTCAAGGGTCAACTATTTGATTGAAGTCTGTCTGACAGAACCACCTTGTGTGAGTTTCTGCCTGAGTATACCGCCCACTCATTGCTCTTGTAACACACACCTGACCATGCCTTCATTAAAAAAATAACAAGAAACCCACAGGTATGATTCAACCAAGACACATTAAAATCATTAAATGACTATCTCTGTTGAAATGCGACGTATTTTCCTGTGTTTTAAGCAGTGGGGTTAGTTGCATGGGCCTAAACATCAACACTTGTAGTACTTGTGGCCTTATGCGAAGAAGACAATTTTCAGGACTCGAAATATGCGTACAAGTATAAAATGTCTCATAATAACTTGAATGGCAACAAAATGAATGCAACACGGGACGAGTTAGTAGTCGGCAAAAGAGAGGTAGTCCTTGCGACTCATGCCGACAGCGGCCTTGTTCTGTTCGGCCTCGAGCTTGGGGCAGTGCGTGATGCGATGACCGAGACCACCGCAGTAGGCGCACCCCACCTCGTCCCCGGTGACGCCGGCCAGGTGCTCGTCTGCGTGCTCCGTGGACAGCTCGAGGAGAAATTCTGGCACTGTCTGGCGAGCCTCAATTAGTAGGTGCTTCAAGTCCAGCAGGGTCGACTCATTCACACTCTTGTTGATGAAGGTTGTCGCCAGACCCTTCTGCTTACCGCGACCTGTCCGACCAATTCGGTGAACTACATCAGTAAATCAAAAATGACTGCATTGTGGTCAAGTTTGGGTGCGCGAGGGTTGGCGTGGTTTAAACACACTTTGAGGCATACATTTGGCGGTTATTTTAGTATTTATTTACTTTAAACAAACTAAGCGACCAAAAGATACATCAATGCACAAGAGGCTGATTAACGGCGTAATTCAAAGTAGCACAACTTCCTTTTTTAGACCAGTCAAGGATGTATATTTTAACAGATCTGGCGCTCGGGAATTGAAACCGTGTCAAAGTCAGCAAATCAATCAAAACGCGGTAATGACAGAAACACCATATTTTCAACAGATGCAAGGATTAAGCGCGGTTGATTGGGAAACCGGTGGAAGGTAGGTTAAACGGCAACGGAAGCTGATGTTTTTTACTTATTTTAGTAATCCACCGGCTTCCGTAGCGTTCTTTATGCACACTGAAAATCACGATGCAGACAATTAAGTAACTCGCAGAGCCAGGATCAATTCTTGATTCGCTTGAGTGCTGCATTTTTGCGTGGGTAGCTAGAAATTATACAACTACTTTTGAAACTATAAAATCTCATAGTCAAATTGTGGCCAAAATACACCACACACACCGTAGTTTTCAATGTCTTCGGGCATGTCGTAGTTGATTACATGCATGATGTCTGGGAAATCAAGGCCTTTGCTTGCCACATCAGTAGCGACGAGGACGTCCCGTTGACGCTCGCGAAACATCTTTACGGCAGCCACGCGTTCCTCCTGATCCTTCCCGCCGTGAATTGACACAGCGTCAACACCCTTCAGTAGCAGGTACTCGTGAATCGCGTCCACGTCCTGCTTCCGTTCGGCAAAGATGATGACCTGCAAAGATTTGCCGGTTACAATTCAGTAGAGCATCCGGCAGTAGTCAGTAGCCGGAATAAGGGCTTCGTGTTACCGACAATGTAACCAGCTTGTGTCTTAGTGCATCGACAGTGGGGATGCACAAAAAAGGGAAATGAATTGATTTGCATATCCCCGTACTGGGTTACTTCACAGGTCCGATTACCAACAACAGTTCTTGAAAGTAATCGACCACTCTCAAACCACATTTATGGCATAAAGGTCTACGATTTGGCGTTAAATTAGCATTGACACTATAAAGAAACCGGAAGTTTTTGAAACATTTGGGGTTTGTGTCAGATGATACCAAAAAAATACAGGATTTAGAGATCGGAAGACATTTCTTCTCCCGGTTTGTGAGTGAGAATAGTTCTGAACGCCGCGGCGACCTCGATGTGTTCCCCTGGCTTAATCAGTCTTTCGATAGTCTCTGCTTAAGAGTGAATTAATTTGCCCAAGCATTTACGCTACAGGTAAGCATATGGCGCTGGTGAGAATGCATTTCATTTAGTAATAGTAGCAGGCGCTCCACTGATACAGATTACAACCAATAACCAAGTCATTTTTCCAAGGCAATTTGAGTTGGCGGATAACTAACACAGTCTACTCATAATAACACTAATTTTTTTTGGAAAATATGCCCATCAGAAAGAGGGCATGATCTAAATCAAGCTTCGACTAGGGGCAACTCAAACAATTGGTACGAACTTAGAAATGTTACATGGCTGTAGGGGGGGGGGATCGCTCGACTTTCAACGAGGCCTTACCGGTGGAGGGGTCTTCTGAAGAGCCTCCAGGAGTTCGGGAATTTTGGCCTCATGTTTGACGTAGGAAACCTCCTGGGCAACGTTGAGACTCGCAGCCCCTGCTCGCCCAACATTCACGGTCACCGGCTTCACCAATGCGGACTTCGCAAAATTTTGAATCTTCTTCGGCATAGTTGCCGAAAATAGAAGTGTTTGCCGTTGGCCCTGGGAAGTGGCAAACAGTTACAACTACTCGACCACTTACAGCATGAATGCCTAAAAGTTGATTACCTTGAAGTATGAGAAGATAGTGCGAACTTCCTCCTCGAAGCCCATGTCAATCATTCGGTCGGCTTCGTCTAACACGAGATACCGGCAGACCTCCAAATTAAGAATCTTCTTTTCTAGCAGATCTATCAGGCGGCCCGGGGTCGCAACGAGGATGTGGAGGCCAGACCGACGGAAACCGTCAACCTGATCCTTCACTGCCATCCCGCCAATGCAGAGACCAACACGGACTTCTGGATAACCAGCGCTGGCCAGTTTCGCCGCTAGTTGGCTCAACACCTCCTGAGTTTGACGGGCCAATTCACGCTAAAATGGAATTACGGCAACAGATGTAGTTCATGAGGATACTGAAAATTGAAACGACTGAACACAGCGACCAATGTTTTGATGGTATAATCCACTACACATTTCTTTTTTTTAAAATTTCCACGAACTGAAGAAAATGTACGGACCACGAAAAGAGGAAAACTAAAGGAAAAAAATGGAAAGTCCATAATAGTGCGTTTGATGTGAGAAAAAAATAGATTCTCTCTTCAGAAATGACAATGAATTATGCAAAAATCGACGAAAAATGGTAGATTTAGAACACAGCAGACCACCCAAAGTTAAACATCACTGAAGAAATGACATTGCCGAAGCACATTAATCCCCGTTTATGGCCACGCGAAACATGGCCTGGTGCAGTGTTTACTAATCCCTCCTGTGTGTTTATGTCGTCATCACTGTCTTCATGACCCGCCATCTGCCACGCATCTGTGCATACACCGTCTGACCTATCTCCCCCCCCTCCCCCCCCCACCCGGTCACAAACACGACGAACTGCTTTGTGGTCCGACGGACCGGACAAGTCTCCGTGGCCCCTGGTCTTCTTAGGCAGTATTTGATAACTGTCTGTTTACACTTTAAAGCCAGACCGGGGGATTTGCCTTGATCGACGCCCTAGGTCCTTACATATCCGCAACTTTGCAAGCCCATATTGTGAGACGATCGTGGGTGCCCAAAATTTAATATTCATAAATTTGCGGGTTACCGATGGACCGAGAATAAGCCCATAGGGTCCCTCGCTTGGAATGAATGGGATCTTCGATTCCTGGTCGATGGAGAATATGAGAATGGGCAGAGCAAAGACCATTGTTTTGCCAGACCCAGTAAACGCGATTCCAATCATGTCACGACCTGACAAGACAGCTGGAAGGCCCTGCATTTGGATCGGAGTAGGCTTCACGATGCCACGTGAACGCAGCTCCTCGACCAGCACCCGAGGAAGGCACATTTCAGGGAAGGAGCGGATCGGTGGGGGGATTGCTTCGCCATCAACCAGAATGCGATAGCGACTTCTGATTTTATTTGATTTCTCCTCTGATTGATTTGTAATCCAAGGAGCGGGACGCCATCTAGAAGTGAATAAAACATGGTCGCGTCGTATTGCCATTTAGTTCCAATAAATCAGCATCCCGAAGTAGCGTCAAAAAAGAGGCGCACAGCCAGTAATGCAATAAGAAAACCAAGTGTGTAACCATTCACTGAGGGCAGAAGTTATCACATGAACGCCAGCGGAGTCGACAGCGCCAGTCCTTCTGTTTCTGCACAATCCGGTCATTTCGGGGGACAATCTAAGTCACGTTGGTGCCGGTGCCTTCGATGTGGTCGTGTATGGAGTCAGTGAGGGCTCATGTAGCCGTCCACAGGCCTTTGAACCAAACGAATTGCGTTTAGATAAAAGTGCCGGTTAGCCAGCATTGGCGACAACTTTTCTAGGCATTTCAACAAGTCGACGATTTTGCATTAAGATTGAAGTTAGTGTTTTTAAACTCCTGGTCGACAATTGTGTTAATCACTGAGGGGCTGCAAAACAGCACCTCAATGGATTAAGCGTGCACATTCTAGCTGGCAAGAGGCCACAGGTCACACTGAATCAGGACTTTAGATGGCAGTGATCATTTGGTTTCGCCGTAAATGACGTGCATTGGTCGTTAGCGCTTTCGTCAAGACGCTCCTAACATTCTAAGATCGAAGGGAACATCGAACCTGGGTTTCCAGGACCTTCTAAATGACCCTTATGCCCACCAAGCCTATGGACCAAGCCAACATTATACAACGGCGATATCTGCTATTTTCAAACTTCCTGCATCTAATAGACCCAGCAAAGCGAAACTATCATTTCCCCATCCTAATAGCTCAAGTGGCTTCGCTGCGCCTGGTACCCGAAAAATCGGGAAAGTAGCGTTACTGTGGTTACGTTCAAGCACTCCACAATGTCCAAGTCACTGATTGGTGCCCCGATACCATAGCAACCGATGACGCTTACGAATTGCCGAGGGTTGACCCAGCAGGCAATCATTGCCAAATAACAGTAGCCCCAGATGATGTGCTAAAAAATAACGTTGTCATTCAGTTCAGATAACTCGAGTTGCCGCGATTATTAGGAAATTAAACGATCAAATGTACATGGCTGCGATACATTCCTCGCACATCATTGACCGTCTCATCACTAATATTGCCGACAATTTTCATTTTTAAGATATATTTAAGTGAACCTAAAATTTGCGGATTTACTACTAACTGCCAGGGTTTCATTTTCAGAATGAGCAACAAGACCGCGGTAATGCGAGAATGCATAATGCCAGCCATCCAAGAGGTTGTGTCATTTTCTTAGCTCGGCCAAAAAACGTTGAAGGCATTACCTACTGCGATTTTACACGAATAAATCTTGTCCAACGGACAGACATTGTCCAACTGCCGTCGGAGCGAAGAAATTCGCCTGCGTCATAATTATGTAAATACCGACAAACTTGCACCCGCTGCACACCCTCTCAAGGAAACTGCTAGTGTTACATTTTACTAGTAAGCACTTCAGTAAAATACTGGAAGGTCGTGGGGTTACGTTCATTACAGACCACAAAAAATGGTGAGTCCACATACCTTAAACGTCAAAATTTGCAACCAACAAGCGCTGTTTTGACAAGACCACCAGTGTCACCGTAAGAACTCCCCTGGGAATATACCTATTCTGCGATTAATACTCCAGTCATCGACTTTTAAGTAATGAACGGGATGACAGTTTTAAGATAACTTCAATATTAAGGCCCGAAGTCAAATTACCTACCGTTTTTAAGTTATTAGTCTGGAATTACGTGTGATGTGAGTAGGTGAATCCAGTCTTTTGATTTGTGCTCAAATTGGTAGGAGAATGTGTGAGCATTTCCAGTTGGTGAAGCGCTTGCAAACACACATCAGCATCAACGCGGAATGGATCACCGCCACGCGTCCGCCCTAGAAACGTTTTCGCCTCATGAATAACGCTTATGACACCTTCACTCAGACATCGTCAGGCCTTCTTCGCATGTGCGTACCTGTGTGGATCGAATTTGTTGGCTCTTGGGTGCTGTTACTCGGTGTTTGACAGTTTCGCTCGGTTCTTAATTGTTTATTTTACTATCTCCAACGTCACCTTGGATGCAAACGCTCCTGAACCATAATAAATCACCCTATGCACAAATTATTCGAACACTCTGTCTCTCGTTCACATGAATATGCTGAAGACAAAAAGTCCATCACAATTCGACTAGTGCTGAAACGATCACCAACTCACCAACCCCAACTTTAGTCACGTCTGCTTACCGAATGCTTGCATGTATCCAGTTAATCTGAAATATCCCTTTCAATGTTAAGTGTCGATTAACAATTTAATCGTAATGGAACAGAGCGGAATTCAATTTACCGTTTAGAGATTGCTACGTTAATGGAAAACAGAGACGTGCCTTCTTACGTGTCAGATAGAGGTGAGTTGCTATGCTACGTCTCTCCTTACCCTGTGGTCTGGTCGCGTATATAAACCCCTGTAAGTCTGCCTAAATCAGTTTGAAGTCAAGCTTTGCCTTCGAGCAAGATTTAACAAATTCTACAAGTAATGGATTGGACACATAAATTTATGCACCTCAATGACTTGTTTGACCTCACACATTATTCGTTCATACGTATGCCCTTGAAATTCCTGCATCATTCACGCAAAGTACACGTCACGACCTGGCGAGCAAATAAACAGTTTGACTCGCCCTCTCCAGGCAAAACACTACTACTAGATAACATAATTAGTAATTATTATAAGGAGCATACATACCCAGTGGTTAGCAATGTTAGAAAGCCAGATGCGACATTACCAGAGTATATAAAAGTTAAGCTTAATCAACTAAGGATGAAAAAAGTGGCATGCAGGAATACCCTCTGAACGAGGTGCTGTGATAAATACAAAGTCGGACTCACCCGGTTTCAATCGGTTTCTCGTAGTGGATGCCCAAGGCGATCTCGCCAACACCCTTCAAGGCTGTCTTCTCGGTGACACTGTTAAGGATAAGAGCCTCCTCTTTCAGCTTCTTATCGCGTTCCGTTTCACGCTTCTCTAAAACACGAAAGCACAATTAGATCCATATCACCAAGCTTTTCTTGAACCCATCAACACTGCAAACTGATTTATGAGGTTGACAAATAACCAATGATTCCGATGCTCGAAGGGTAGAACACAATTGTTGCAGAAAGTGTAAATAACTAATCAGCGACACTAGCGCGCAAGGCAAGCGAGAATGTGACTGCAGATTCGTCTTGTGTAACGAATATACAGTTATGCAAAACGCTCAACTCACAGAGAGGGTTGTTAATTGAAAATCAGGGAATTCGACTGGGGACGGTTAGGCAATAGAGGCTAATAGAGCATCCACTAGACAAACAAAATTTAAAAAACCCAAACGATGAAAATTTCATCCAAAAGGGAATCAGCCAACTTTCCAACCAACACTAGTGCTTAAAACGTGACGATTACAAACCCATGTATAACCTCATTTTTGGGCCTCACCTTCAGCCTGCTTCTTGAGTTCCCACATGGTGTCGAAAAGACTACCCTTGGCTTTTGGACCGGCCGTCTCCTGCCGCCCATCTTCACCATTTGGCTGGCCAGGTGGAGGGGTTGAGGTGGCATCAGGAACTTTTTTGGGTGCCGTGTCATTAGCCGCTGCGACGACATCTTCATGATCAGACTCTGTTGATTCTGAATAGGCTATATTTCCTAATGCCTGGCGTACAGCGTAAAGCTAGAACAAAGGTAATTGAGAGCTCTGAGTAAGGTCAAAACATGTAATGACACGCTACGGTGGATAGCAGATTTTAATAGCCACGACAGGCTTAAGATTCTTAAAAAATTTGTTTCCTTCCAAAATGACAAGCCTTCATTTTAGCCTATTTGCGAAAGGACCCCTACTAAATTGCATAACAAGCCCTGGCCCGAAGTAGGCTGATGATGTGTCGCACATGGAACAACGGGACCATTTTAATTACAGTAGTGGAGAGGTCACATAAACAGTAGCGGTCTGCTGCATAATCGTTTTCAAAAGAAGCCATAATGATATCCATAATAGAAATACTTTGGCTGGTTTACATCAGAGAAGTGGTGAAGATCTAAGATATCAACAGGGATAAAAGTATCAACTGGGGTAGGGAAAACGCAAGCAAGTACCTTTTGCTTTTTCCTTTCCTTAAGTGGTACATATGGCACGTAGTCGTCGTCATCTGACAGCGAGGAGACATCTGAGTTGTCCTTCGAGCGCTTCTACAAAAGATGCACTCATGAAGAACTCAAAAAGATTTGGTAGAAATCATAAGCTTAAAATACGCGCAGATCAACAACCATAACCAATAAACAGTTGTAACGATAAACCAGATAATTTTTTTTCCAGCGCAACCCAAAAGAATTATGGCACTGGTATTAAGTACGAATAAAAGTTAGAACAGAAAGACTGCTAAGTTCATACCACGCAGCACACGAAACTCGCGCCAAAAGAACGACATGAGTGACGACAAAGGTTGGGAAATCTCATAAATGTTGACCTTGGTCAAGGTAATCAAATATAATAACAACAAGCACAACTATTAAAGCATTCAATATGCAAAGTTGACTACAGTTTAACGGAAATCTAAGGCATTCAAAGTCATAATACACATTAACGCCCCTGAAACGGTGAACACGGATGGTGAGTAAACACCAAAAAAACCGGCGTCCACAGTTTCGCTATGCTAATTTTACGGTAAAACATACACTATCATAATACGGCCAGCTAAGAACCTAAGCTTAGAGACAAATCAAAATGGTCCGAAACGCACCATCCACAAAACACAAAATTAGCAGATTTGACCTTGAATTTTATCCAATCGTTATTATGTGACCTTCAGATGTTTGAGCAAATTGAATATGTGATTGTAAAACGTTGATGTTGTTATGCAGTCTTAAGCGGATCAAATGTAAAATTTTGCTATATTATAAATATAATGAGGTCTTCTAAAATCTTTGATATGGTTACTTCCTTGATTTTTAAACTAGGAACTTGCATTTCTTAGGCTTCTGAAATCCCAAAGTTCATTGGCTACACCGGAGTAGTTCAATGACCTATGTTATCAGCTGTTCTCATACCTGATGTCTTTTAGCAGATTTCCTTTTGACCAGTATGCCTTGGAGCTGTGTGTCATCGGCTCTATGACTATCGCTAGTTTTTTCCTTACTAAATCGCTAATCAAATCTTTTGGTGGAATTTTTATTAAAGCTGGCTTACATGGAGTTGATATGAACAAAGCAAATAAACCGATTTTGTACCCCAGATTACTTTTGGTCATAAATCTTATAGACCTGAGGCTCAAGGAGTCATCGCGGCTGCTGTTTACCTTAATTGCATGTTCCTCTTTATCCCACTGCCTTTCCGAAAACATATTCTTAATTCCATTCACTGGTACAATCGAGTAAGTCACTTTTATGTATCATCCCAGACGCCTTTGTCCAATGATGATATTCTCGCAGAGCAGGCCGTTTTATTTAAGACTAGGGTATGTTAAATCTATTTAACTTGGCACACCTTTAGCTTATTCCCTTCTTAGCCGCCCTTTTGTCGATTTGCTGCATGATCTTTTTGGGTTTCGCTGATGACGTTTTAAACCTACGATGGCGTCACAAGCTTGTTCTTCCGTCCATATCTAGTCTTCCACTTCTTATGGTCCATGTTGCTAATCTTGAGACTACTCACATAGCAGTTCCCCTGCTCCTTCAGCCCTTCTTCGGGATTAGCGTTGATATAGGTACGTCTCCGCCTTATTTATTCTTTTTGTAAATTCATGCTCTGTCACTGAGGCTTTGTTCAAACATTAGCCAGCCTCACAGAATTAGCGTCCTTATATTAACTTCTCTTCTTGCATGTAACTTTTTACTTCATTCCATTGTCTTGCTTTGAATTTAGGTTTTCTGTACTTCGTTTATATGGGAATGCTAGCGGTGTTCTGTACCAACGCAATTAATATATATGCTGGAGTCAACGGCTTGGAATCCGGTCAAAGTCTTGTTATTGCTGTCTCCGTCATAATTTTCAATACACTTGAGCTTAATGGTAAGTTATTTTCTGCTAAATTTTCTAAAGATAGGTTCTCGAGTAGCTATCCAGTAATGCCAGAACTTTATTTTTTGTTAACTGTGCCTAGTTTTACTCCTATTATGACTGTTTATAATCTGTTTCCGCTAAGGCACCATGAAAGATGCTCAGTGCAATATACTCCGCTCCAAATTAAGACGAAATTAATTCACACCATGGGCCATGCAAAACCATATGACTAGGCCCACACAACTCTTTTTGTACCAACGGTTTGTTCTTATTCATCGGATTGTTTGTTTGGTTGCTGCATCGTCTCTTGCGGTTTTTTTGGCTACCTATGGAAGTTCATGAACCCTGTACACATTGACACCCCCCTTTTGTAGTGAATTATTCAAACCTTGTGTACCTTTGGGTGCATATACCGCATGTAGACACAAACTTTCAGCTCGTCCAGCATCATTTCAAAGGCGCGTTGGTATAAGGTGAACGTCAACTTCTAGATTTGCAGGAAAAGATATTCAGTGTGTTGAGAGCATCGACCTTCGAGTTAGGAATTGCCTTTCTCTAACATTGGTCTGACTTTCATATGAACCCTAAGGGCAACTTCATTCGCAAAATTGCCTATTATTAAAGAAGTGGCCTTTTTTTCTGATGTATCGTGTTTTATTGCATGGTAGGTCGACAAAAATCTAATGAAAGCAATGGTGATTTTAAACCTCACCAATATTTGCGTCAACCTAGCTCGCTATGTAATGTAGCTTCAATGAATTTCCGAGGTGTAATTAAAAAGGCATTTTAATCTAGCGCTTTCTTTATTTTACTGTTTACCCTTTAGTCCGTTACTAATGTAGCATTGTAAACGCTAACAGCGAAGCATGCGCATGTCATTGGACAAAAATACTCTGTAGTGCACTAATTTGTATTAATGCCACGCAATATGCCATCTTGAAATACACTTCCACACTATTTGCCATCACTGCTGCAGTTCATCAAGTGTGTCGTTAATGTCTGGTTTGGTTCTTTTCAGGTCCAGAGTGGAAGGCTCACTTATTCTCCCTGTACTTTTTGTTGCCCTTCATTGGCGTCACGTTTGCCCTTTTGCAGAGAAATTGGTACGTTGTTTCTCGTTTACAATGTCGTCATTTCGGAACAAGCCAGGATCTTCGTCTAATGGGATAGCAGTGTAACACTTAGAGTTAATTTAAGGAGAAAAAGCGCGACTTGGTTTATTTATTGCCCGTTCTCATTTTCATTGTGCTTTTCTGGTGTAATTGCATAGTTAGCCAAAGCCAGCCCTTGCTTATCTGAGTTTGTGTTCTTGATTCTCTGTCAAAGCAAGTTCAGTCACGTGGTTTCACCTTCCAAATCTTTTCTTCTGTGACTGGCCCACCCAGAGTCCCCAAAGGCCCCTTGTTTGGTTAGCAGTGATACGGTAAAATTAGCGAAAGCAACAACTGAATCATAGCTTCACTATCATTGTGAAGTTTTTTCCCTTTTTCTTAATGACTTAGGCTGAATCCGTGATCCATTCAACTTGGCAAATTGTTCATTTATTCTTAGGTGTCCCGCTGATTTATTTGTGGGAGATACATTTTGCTATTTCGCGGGCATGACCTTCGCAGTCGTGGGAATCCTTGGACACTTTAGTAAAACTCTGATGCTTTTCTTTATCCCACAAGTCTTCAATTTTTTCCTGAGTTTGCCCCAGCTGTTTCATCTGATTCCCTGTCCACGTCATCGCCTCCCACGGTAGTTCTATTATTATTCTTATAATCCTACTGCTATGTATTTAGTAGGCATTTTCACATCTTGGATTGACGTCACACTCATTACGTGAAAATATTCATACATTGGGCAATTTTTTCTTGATTTGGGTAAAGGCATACGGTGTCATTTTTTCACCGAAGGAGACAACGTAAAGTTGCTTTCTCTCAATCTTGTTAGTTTTTAGAACTAGAATGTCACGTTGCGACGGTAAACGTTCTGGTGGCATGTCTTGTTTGCCGCAGGCGTTTAGTCACCGAGCGAGTATAACCTGGACTGGACACTGTGGCTGACGTATGCCAAAGCAGAATAAAGTGATGTAGATTTTGACGAGGACGATGGGCTAGACGACGACTTGCATGGGGGTGGGGAAGACAAACAACGCTTACTCAAGGTGAGTGGAAAGGAAAGGGAGGAAGAACTTGATCGCCGAAGCGAGCGCCGTGAAGCGATGAAGATTCGACGGGATCTTAAAAAGCACCTAATCGGAAAAGCTCGCTGGTTGGAGAGCCGTCCAACGATGTGCCTTTGAAGTCAGCGAAGAAGAGTTCTGCATACGCAAATGTCCACAATTCTGATAGTGATCAAGGAAGCAGGTCTGAAGTTGTGTCTGTAAAGTCTAGTCTGAAGGAAAGACTGCTCGAATTGTCGATGCAAAAGGAGAGTAGTCCAAACCGCCTGCAGGAACTTGCAGATTGTCGTAAAGAATTAAAAAATGAGGAAGAAACCAACAATTATGACTCTGACGATGAGCGAAAGGGTTCACGGTTGCGGCCAAAGCACGACGTCCAACGAAGACTTTATTCTATTAATTAATCCTACTTTGATTCCAGCTGTTCACGACTCGAACAGACACCCCCCGAAAATGGCAGTCTCTCCATTTATTCCCGTTCATCTTCTGCTCAATCTAGCGACCCTAGTGCCGACGACCGTGGTCACAACAGCTCTGAAGTTCGCGTAGTTACCCTACCTACAGGAGTTTCCTTCAGTGATGCTAACTCAAGATAGCGCTTTTTCGGTTTGTTGACCATACGAAATGTGGGACTGCTTTCGTGTTATTTGTATAATTTGGCTTATTTGTGCCGCGGCGCTGTCGGTTTATGTGGGAAAAGTGGTACTGTTTATTATTGTTATCATTACCACAACGGCGAGTCGAGCCTGCACCCATGTGCATCTGGTTACCATAGTAGTATTCGTGTCCGACTTGTGTGACTATGGCGATGGCATGGATACCACCACGCAGGTGCTTCCCCTCTGACAAAACACCTGCTTCCTCCACCCGTAGACAGGTTCCACACACGCGCAGTGAGAGAGGCACACCGGACTGCATGATGTGGATCAACATTTTTGAATTTGTTCCACTTTATGAAGCCCCGTCATCTGGCTTCTGTTTGGTCAACTCTTTTACATCGACAGGGTCATATTTTGAATGCGTAAATAGGTTGTTTGGGAACGAAGTTTGGGATTCGGGTCTGCATTTGATCCTTCATTTTAGTTTTAGATAACCGCATAAATATGGTTTGTATTGGCACTAGTCTCATTAACTCTTGCGATTATCTGCTTTCCTAGTGTGTGGAAATCATCTTTTTTCATTGTGCAGGTTTGTCCTACGAATACAGGTGGTGTATAATTCAGAAACGACGACCTTTGCTCTTAGTGCGTGCACACGAAGAACAAACAAATACGTCACTCAAGTCATGCTCGGTGTGCGTTCACGGTGCTCTCAATAGTACCTTCTTTGCAGGTTTTCTCCAGTCACTGGTCTTCTTCACCCAAGCACCGTCTCATTTCGGGTGACTTCCCTATCGCGTCTGGGACGTTTTTGTCTGGACGTCTTCCTTTGGCTGCGTCTAACTCATCTATCCCACCCCCCTCCCTGTTCTGTTGATATTGACGCAATGGAGGAAGAATCAACGTCGGAGGAGGTGACTGTGGACAATTTCACACTGATCAATCTCTTTCTGCGCGTGTTTGGACCCACAACAGAGACCAGGACAACAGCTTACTTGCTTGTGATTCAGGTATGCTTGAGTTGGTCTAAGGTTAAAGTGCAGGTTGATTTGGTTGATCAAGCCTTAATCGCACTTCCACTTCCGTAACTACGCCACTAAATCAGATAATGTAGATTGCTTTCCTTCGAGTGACTCAACATTACTAAGCACACTGCAAGTTCAGGCGCATCAGTGACTGGCAGATGAGGCCCATTCGAGATTTTGGCCTCTGATAGATTGTAATTGGTTAGTCGAAGCACCGTCCCTTGTTCTAGACTCGTTTATAGTCATGGGTCCATGCCGGTTGTCGTCGTGTTGGGCGGGTATGGTCTATAAGCACACTCCCCGGTTCAGTAGGCCCCCTCAAGGCTGTGGCGTGGCTTCTGCTCACGCATCGCGTTCCAGCCCGCACGGTTCATGCTGTCACGCGCTGCGCCAGCAGCACATCGTGGGCTTAAGGCGCTCTGCGGTGACCCAATAAATTACTGTTTGCTACCCAATGGTAACTCGCAACTGACGTTTTACCATTAATTCTGCCATAGCCACTCACCCCCATTTTCGCCTTCCGAAACACGACTCGTGGCTATTCGCGTGTACTTTCACAGCTTTGTTCATATGTTCGGCCCATCTTATGCTGTAAAGCAGGCAATTGGCGCCTTAACTCCTTGCACCTTGGACTTGGGCTGAGTTGAATGTTTTACTGATTTACTGGCTGCCTCATTTATGAATGTGAACGTCCTTTCCATGCTCAACTACTGACAACTACTACTGAGAAGCACTGTACACAACGTGTGTCATTTTGTGTCTTTATGGCGGGTAAGAGTAACCGTGTTAATTATTTCAAGTGCCTTTATGCTAGCCTTCGCCCATTTTCAAACCTTACATAATAATTCTTCCGGTAATATCCGTCACACAACAATGCGAAATGAACAGCCATTTTTTTCACGCTCCCTTTGCATCCCTCAGTTGTCAATAGTACGTCGGTGTTAATGCCGGAACGCCGTTTTCATACTGCGATTTTAACTTCATATACTATTAGCACATGTCAATTTCATCTTGATACTATAAATAGCATCGTTATTGCATTTAAGATGATGTGAAAATCAAATATCAATTCAGCAGAAGTTGCTTTGCCTAATATTGTTTACACGCGACCCTGTCGAACTAAGTTCAACCACTAAACCCGTCTGTCACGTCTGTTTCCTGCATTTATTTCGCCACCATTTTTCCTAACAGCCACTGCACCGAAAGGCACAGGCTTTGTTTGCTTAAATGAAGGATTCATGTTCACTTTTTTTTTGGAAAAAAAGGCAACATCGTGCCATGTAACCCTGAAGCTAAACTCCCTTCTGGCTACCTATTTGCAGCTTTAATTTATTAAATGTCAAAGACCATGAATGCGATTGCAACAGTCATGTTCACATGCGTGGATCCTGCGTGTTAGCATTCCCTCATTCAGGGGATCACGCCACTTGAAAAACTTGGCGTTGGCGTTGGACGCATTTCTGGGTGTGCGCGAGGGTGGTCATACAGACCCGGACGACTGTTTCGGCCTAGTAGGTGGTGTCCCATGCGTAGCCACTCATCACTAATGTTGTTAGCTCCCAAATCCACTCAGAGTGTTTTGACAACGGAGCTTGGCAGTTTTACGCCACGATTCTTGTAATCACTAAGTCGAACAGCTGTGCAAACGTTTCCCGTAATTTAAGAACTATTCATGTGCTTTTTCAGGCTACTTTTTTGTCAAGCATTTGCGTGCTCCACAACCGCTTGAAATGTTCGCTGATTAATGTCTTTGTGACACTCTCTATATTGCTGGAACACCCTGCGTTGTGTTTTATATTTGGACAATTGACAAGTTGCGTTGTGTGATTACCGTTAACTCGTGCCCACTTTATCAAGCCTGCCTTAATGGTTTCCGCGTCACAAAATCATGACAACTGAGTGAAGTAACTTTCTACCGTTCACCGTTACCTGCGTTCCCGATCCACACTGACAAGTAATCTCTTCACCAAGAATATTCTTCTAAATAGGCCAATTCATTTGTTAAAGGACAACATAGATCAGACAATTTTACTGTTTTCTTGGACGTTCTGTTGTACCAGGCAATGCGTGCGTGGCAATGCACATTCATTTTGCAACACGCCCACCGCCTCTGTTTGTATATAAGAGTGATGTGCATAAACTTTGAAAATTGATTCAACATGGCTGCCCAAAAATAGAGTTCAATAGAGGGCTTTTCTGTGCACTTCACGGGAACCCAATCACTCTGTGGGAAGCCTATTTTATAATGTCGATAAATCCCTCGTAGTTGATGTTACCGTAGAACAATTGGAAATTTGGTAGCATATCTGTTTTGCAATACTTTTTTAACATCTAAAACGTTTTTTGAGCAAATTTGATTTTCTTAAGAAATAAGACCTTTCGATTAAAGACTCCTACTCGAACTTCATCGTCTTCCTGCGTCTTTGGAACTGGCGTAGGTTTCCCCATTGCATACCTCTAACATACTTAGGATTGTTCTTTCATAACTTATTTCACTCGACGCCGTCCTGTTGTGGTAGTGTTTTATTGTCTTCATCATCACCGTCTGCATGAAGCAACTACGATTTATCCAAGAAGCATTCGCCACTCGTCCCCCCATTGCCTCACTTTCACTTCTTCCCTTCAGAAATGCTTTAAGATTGTTTTCATTAGGCTTTATGGAGACGGAACAAGAGACGCTATAGTTAATGTGTCTTCCGAATGTGATAACAAGGTGTCAAGGTTGCTGGCGGATTTAAACAGCAACCCACTGCGTCGCTGTGTCAGCGTCGATTATTACGATCTTTTGGTTTTTACACAAATACGCTATGTGCACATTTTTTTATCGGGCGTCGTCTGAATTAGTTTGTTGAATTGAATTCCATCATGTAATTCTTCTGATTTTAAATTTTTTTCTGTATCTGTATATTAGCATGCAGATTAATGCCTTAGGAGTTCATAAAAGGCTTAAGAAAGTTACTTGTAAAGCCACAGCAGCACCTCGGTTCACTCTATGCCAAATCGCTGACTTCATCTGCGATTTATGAGTTGAACATCTTTGCAGATGATGATTGTTTATGCAGTCAATTTGTGATCATTTCAAATTAAATTTAACCAGAAGTGTACTGCTCCTGCCACATTTAAAAGGGCCTTCTTTTTTTCCACGATGGAATTTAACATTGAAAGAGTCTGTCAGTTTATTCGTAGACGAATAATGCCTATTTCGTGATCGAGGTCATTTATCAGCCGTACTCGGGGCGCTGGATCTGTCCCGGTGTGGTGTTTAGCCTCGGTCACCTCACTCGTGCATGATCAATGCGTGTAGATTGCGTGACAATCGAATCCCCCCTATCGATTGAGCGCTCATTCACACCATCGTGTCGTCAACATGAGCGCGTCGACGTTCACGCTAGGCGTGAAGCGTGCCAGCTTGTCAATGTCTACTTGATGGTGATGTAAAACTTTTTGTAGGTTTGGATTCAGGCGTCCGTATTCGTCACTAGATTATAATGCTTCAGCTTCTGATACTTCGGTTCTTCGTCTCTCTAAACCCCTCCTTTGTCTGATCGTTCACGCTGAGTATCAACCAGTGTCTGAAGTTTGCTTTTTTCTCCATTTCAGATCCTGTGTTCCTGTTTGGCATTCGTGATTCGTTACCCCATTGCCTGGGTGTTGTATGGACATCCGAACTAGCTTTTCTACCAGGTGCCTTGCAGTTCTGCCTTCTTATAACTTCATTTGACAAGAAATAAACGTGAATTTTTTCTCATTGATTGGACAACGCTTGGGACTTACGTATTCACTAGTTCTGGAATCGATCGTCATAGTGACCGCTTTTAGAGTCTAACTTTTCTGCATCCAAACGTTCTCTTATGTGGCTTAATGTTTAAAGGAAGCCTTCCATATATGCTTTCTACGACCGCTAGCTGCGCTTTGCAGTTAATATTAAGAGATCTACCTTCCTGGAATGACGTGTTTCACAGTACGCTATATTTGGTTAATCTTCAAGTTGAGCAAGTCTTGTAGGATGCTTGTAGCTATTTTTCTCTGGCTAATACAGTCTCGAGTGTCTCGTCTTTTTCTGTTCGCCCGTGTTGGTATTCTTCACAAGGATCTTTACTAGGGCTTCATTACGAAATTAATCCGGCAAGTTGTCTAAATGATGTCTCAGGTAGCAAGTTTTTAAGTAATTCTTAAGTACTAATTTCTTGGTTCTGTTCGACATCGCACTTTGGTCTACCAATTTGAACCTTAAGATCCAAAATCAACCCTTACGTTATCTCCTAATCAAGTCAATTTTCAATTTTTTTTCTCTAGCACGTTACTGTATGCTCACCAAAGTAGTTACGTAGCCAACTTCATGCCATATCGTGGTCTCAACTTCCATACCTCCTTTTTTGATGCAGCTCCATAACTCTCTGCAATCGATGTGCGCTTTGTGTAGAAGAATTTATGCAGTTTCTTCATGATTTTCCAGTTAAATCAGTATTGTCTTAGTCCTGAGTATGCAAATAGCGTGCTGTGTAACTTTCACTGCGTTCAACCCATTGCTACTTCTGTTTGACATCGGTTATTCCTGCAAAACTGGGATTTAGGCTCTGGCGGTTTCACTCCTTAATTGCGTCTACCTGTTTCATTAAAATGCCGTTTGTCATCCGGTGGTACTGGAATAGTTAAGTTATTCTCGGTTGTGAAAAAATGGGCTAAATTCGGGTCTGGACTGAAAACAGGCCCCAGACGGTTGTTAGGCCCTTAGCCACCATCACCTGCTTTGTCTTGCTATTTGACGTTTTGAATTTAAGTTGGTGATTGGTAAACAAGACAATGATGTGCTAAATCATGCTGCTTTTATTCTTACAGTGAACTAGAAGCCACTGGTGATCAACAGCCGTCATATCACTCCGTTGGGTGCCATAAACCTTGTGGAAGTATTATTAAAAATTTACCCCAAGAGTAGGAAATTCTAACTGAGTGGTGGATGTTTTTATGTCGCTTACGTGCCATCCCGTTGATCCCATGAAATGGGCTCAAAGAAACCCATCAGGAGACAATTTGAAAAAGGACGTGTGTGAATCAAACTAATCAAAATTGCTATGTGGTCGCGAAGAGAAGGAATTAGGCGCCAACCAATGCATCAAGGAACGGCGCTAGTATTTTCATGACAACTCAACCATCAAGTTATTGGGAATCAATTTGCTGGTGCTTTCAATAAAGATAAAATGAATGAATGAAGGGCTAAGGGGGTCGGCGGGAACAGCACGGATTTGGCAAGGTGTACAATGCAAAGAAAAAGCGAATAGCTCCACTTTAACGCGGCAATCAAAGGTGTCACGGGGAAAGTGTGCGCGCTGTGCGACCGGCTGTGAGCCCGCGTTAAGTGCGTTTCCCCTGTCCTTTAACAAGGACTTCACAGGCCCGATGTTTTATGTGGATGAGTTTACGATCACACAAACTCGTGCACATGCGCACGACTACGCGTCCTCTTAGAGGCCTTTAAAGCCCTAACTATGCATGTACCTTTTTTCTCCTCTTCTAAACAGTCGCGCTCAAATCCAAATGTTTATTTGTGTTGGGAACAAATCAGCACCTTGTTGTTATGGTGACAAATCCAGCAATAAACTCAGGTGTCGATATACTAATATACTAGAACACAACAACAAACAATGAGGGCTTCGAATTAATCTATTTTTGTAACTGATTGACCCTGTTGGATTTCTGTAAATTGACACACGGGCGGTTTCCTAATGCACTATTCGGTTTCTACTTGATGCCATTTTTTTTCTTCCAAACTTTTTAAACCTCTTGACAACTTTTTTATTCAAGAAGCAGGATGACCTTGAGTCGGAAAATGCGCCTGGCTCTTTTCACAAAGCTTCGCAAATGAAGATCATAACTATCATAACAATAGCTTAGTATGCGTTTTAGCTTGGAAGGTTTGCTGGCAAATTAGGGAAAGTCCTTCTAACACTTTTGTTATTGAGCGTGTTGATTCGGAGTAATTATTCTTGATCATAGCAAAGTATTTTTGTGTAGAAATTCAGTAGTTTTTCGCTTAACTTAACTCTGTGTGCATAATTTTCTGTTACTGTAAGGATGGGTTGGATTTCTTTAATTTCGTCACAATCAGCTCAAAAGTTTAATGGGATGCCAAAACGACGCTTTAGGAGTCCTACTTTTTTTGGTAACCTTGGATATATGATTAGCAACCCGTTCCACAAAACCAACAAATATTACTAAAACCCCTTTGTCTGTTGCGATGCCCTGGTGCGGTTTTGGGAACCACACCAGGGCCGACGATCTACGATGACACGGCCCGCCTGAAGGCAGAGTCGAAATGCAGATAGCGCGTAGCTCAACTAATTTGTTATGGCCGTAATTGTGTGTGCGGGTGTACAAGATAGCAAGTCAGTTTATATAGTATCGACTAAAGATCGGTCCCTGAACAAACACAGTTGCTAATTGCGTTCGCTCACGATTGCTGTGTTCGCTTGCTGCTTGCCACCAGTCAAACAGGAGACATGTTAAGAGGTAGAGGTAGTGACCTCTGAGTTGTAAAGCAGTTCAGTAACATTTGGCCTGTGGCAAAGGCCAGTGGATTGGTTTGTTGGCAGTGTTACGGGCAGTTTAGCGTATTTAGCCCACGTCTGCTGCTAACCCAGACTCTGTACTGCGTCTGCGCTAACCGAAAAACAGGCTTTACAGATGAAAATATGAAAGCGTCTGCAAGTTAGCACCATGCGGTGAAATATTGGGAAACGTTTTAATAAGTTATCGCATTTGCGTGGTCTCATGCTCCAACTCACACTTTCCCAGTTTAATGAGTCATTTTTTGTGCACAAATTATTTTTCATCCCAATTGACTTATTGATAAGGTCACTGTAGTTACTCTAATATTAACCAAACTATTTCAAAAGAGACCTGTGAAACGATCTACTAAATGGACATATAAGCGACATCTACGATGTATCTCTGTAGGAGAAGAAATCCTCGTGCGTGGTTTAATTTTAATTTCAGCTTTGCTAATCTAACCACACCGGCAGATCTCATGGAAACTAACAATCAGAAAAGCGTTACTTATAGTTTAAATTGCTCAGAAAGAGGACCGGGTTCCAGTCTCACCGATACTAAGCCTCCTACTGCATTCGGCACCTGGAAGTTCAAAGAAGTCGTTCTTCGTAGAGCCTCTCCCAGTGGCGCGTTTTCTGTGCTTTACTGGTCATTCAGGAGGAAGTATCGTTTTTTTAAGATCCTCTTCACATCCATGCGTTTGTTGCACAGTGATCGTGCAGTACTAGCATGACTGCTGTCAGTGGAATAGAACCGAGGGAAGGTTAGGATCTAAAATACGAAGAACGAATTACACCAACCTTCTTTATTAAGGTTGAAATAGCTACATCTTAACTTATGGACACAGGCTTTCTAAATGAGCATTAGGAGTAGCGACACGTCCGCTTGGACAATCGTCAAATTGTAATCTGTGAGAAAAAAATTAGCGTAGACTTTTGTAAAATTATACGCGATTGTTCGTGTTTGGAGTCTGCAAAAACGATTGTGCGATGTGTGTGGAATTAGTTGAGATTTCGATTATTGTAATTTTATGAATTTGTAAGGCGTGTCCCTGAATGTTCACTCAAAATAACAACGCACCACCATGTGTCTCACGAATTAGCAAACTTTGAAGTGATCGTGTGAAGAATTTTAAAGTGGGATTGTCCTGAACCTTCATCTTCCGGAGCAGCTAATTAAAATTCTGGACCAACACTTGAGTGGGGGTGACGCATTAGTCACCCACTTCATTCAAGAGAACAACCTCCGCTTTCTTTGCAAACATATTGGGAAAAAATGTTGACTTCGTGTCAACATTTCTTCTTGCATCACCTATCTTGCAAATGAGTGACTGCTACAGCCTCCTTTAGTGTTTTTTTATTGACCTTCTTATGATAGGCATGCATTTTGTCAGTGCCTTTCCTCGTAACTCAGATAATTTTCGGACATCTTTGTCCCTCGGAAGTAGCGCGGGAAAAGAAGATATGATTATTGCCATTTTCGCTTGGTCACAGCTGCAAAATGTCTGTTTTTCTTTTGACTTCCAGTGTCTTTCTACGCGCGTTCTGCTGTGGCATGCACACTACCATCGCAAGCTTCTTCAAAAGGGTCTACTGTCTTTTGGCCTGGAGTTGTTTCAGTGGGGTGCACACACATGCACTGCGTAAGCAGAGGTAGAAAAACTCCTTCATAAACTCTCTAAATTCTGCTAACTGCAGCAGGTCCAGT